CTAAATACTATACTCATCCATCTTCCTACTACACAGTGCCCCAAACGGAAATGTCATTCAAGGACGTGCAGTTTATGACTCCACTTCTTTCTGTGGGGCTATCGAAAAAGGATGAAGAAGTAATGAAGGAATGGTTGGAGAATTACCGTCCAGTGAGGCAAAGAACTGTGAGGAGTGAAACGACGAAAGACAAGGCAGGAGCCTTGCCCCCGGCAGCGTACGCCAAGCCAAAGCCGGATGTTACTCCAAAGGTACGATTTCCCGATGACCAAGACGACAGAACCCTCCCTGCCTCCTCTGAGGTCAACCCTCTAGTCTCCGATGTGTCATTAAGTTTCATAAGCGATTCCAACATTCCGCAAGTGAAGCTCGCGTCTGCTGCTGATTTCAACCAGGTGGAGGAGTACGAAAGCGATTCTGAAATTAGCGATGTTGATACGGATAGTGACTCAGAGGATCTTATCATCAGTAAGCCAGTAGTAACAAGGTCCGGAAGGCAAGTCAAGGTGTGGACACGGTTTGATGTCTAGGCAAAAAAGGTACCCGAGACAAGCTAGACTGTACATTGAAGGATTTTGAGGCGTCAAGCATGGCTATATTTTGAGACAATTTAACAGGCATATAACACCATATAAGGACAAACAGGTCACCACTCCTACAAGTAAATGTAAGAATGCATGACGTAAGTTAAGTTGTGTATGGCCTTGTATTGAATCCTTTTTCGTAGTTCACAATTCTATGCGTAAAATAATATTAGAAGTGGTATGATTTATCAAATATTAAATTTTTTCAAAAGAATAACTCATTTAAGCCTGAGATGACCATAACACCTTTATTTTGCTTTAAAGATTAAAAAAACACAGGTTTATTAATATTTAACCTTTTGGAACCAAAGAAATTAATTTTTAACTTTTTTGTTAACCGTAACTGTAAAAAATTAACCGATAGCCGTAAAAGAGCCAAAATTTTAGCCGATAACCGTAAAAGCCAGCACCCCATTGAGACCCTCTTTAAAAACACTTCCATATCAGGTGACCCAAAACAGCAGGAAATTGTATCAAAACTAGCAAATGGAACCACGTTCATTTATAATGAGTTCGAAAATCGCACTGAGTTACTAAACCAGACTACACTTGTTTTAACTGGAATACGAAATGATGACGATGGAAGCTACTGCTGTCAAGCTTTTCTTCTTACGAGGAATGTACACAAGCTGTGTGGATTTACCTGTGTTAGGTATGATATCTCACTGATATTATTTTTCTCCCAGCAATCTATTCCGGACCGATCCTAAATGAAGCAAATCGTGTTAAAAAAACAACTTTCATCAATTCAGAGACGCCTTTCTTGCGCCTGCTGCTGTTAAACCTTTTAGTCAGTCGATAATAAACCTACAAAATGTTCCTACCTCTTATGGTGCACCATAATCTCAAAACTAGAGGTATACAAATTTCCCATCACTGTGCCCTATCCTCA